TTGGATTTGCATCAAGGACTTTTTTTAAGTTGCAGCTCTACTTACATGTTTGACTTGTAAAGACAAACTTCGGTGGAATCAAGAAATGGAAACAATATTTGAAGCTTTAAAGATAGCCTTTGTTTTTGTACTAATCTTATATTGTGTTGACTTCTTGAAGGCATTCCTTATGAAAATAAATGCAATAGACTTTGCTTTAGATGCCATGTTATCACATATAAATCAGATGATAAATTTCACTTAGTAGCTTTTCATTCGAGGAAATTTTTAGCAATCAAGAATAACTATGAGATCCACGATAAAGAACTTCTTACAATTATAGATTCTTTTCAAGAATATCATCATTATTTAGAAGACACTTCCAATCAAGTTACCATGTATATAGATCACAAGAATCTCAAATATTTCATATTAGCATGTGTTTTGAATTATTTCTAAGCTTATTGGAATATGTCTTTGTCAAGATTCGAGTTCAATATTACTTATTAGCCTAGAAAATAACTAGGTTTGTCCAATGACCTTTCTAAATGTTCTTATCTTACATCTAAAGAAAGAGATGTAGTCTTTGATCAACAACGAACAATTTTATTGAAGTCGAAAGAATTTCATCTTTGAGTAGTGAAATCAACATTGATTATTGATTCAAATTTTTTCAAGTAAATTCAATCAAATATGTATTTTAATCTTTTTATTCATGATATTAAGAATACTTCTTCTAAGTCTTATGATACTTATAAGTTTGAGTTCAAGAACAACTTACTTTATTTCAAAGGATGTTACATATTCTATAAAAAAAAAGCACATTCACGTGTTCTTCAAGCATATCATGATTTTCCAACAGCATGACATTTTAGATACAATAAGACTTTAGAACTAATATCTAAAAAATTTTTATTGCAATAAATGTAGAAGGTTGTAAAAGACTTTGTTCAATCATGTGACATTTATTGAATGTCAAAAACTCCTCGTCATCAAACTTATGGATTTCTTTAACCATTATCTATTTTAGAACAATCAAGGTCTTCTATTTCTATGGATTTTATTATGGATCTTTTAATCTCAGGTTCATGTAATTCTATATTTGAAATAATAGATTTTTTTACCAAAATGGCAGATTTTAAACTATGTACAAAATCTATTACAAGTAAAGAAACTTCTAAGTTTTTCTTTCATAATATCTATGGATATTATAGATTGTCGAAAGATATTATATTAGATAGGAAGACTCAATTTGTATCAAGATTTTAGAGTATTCTTTTTAAGATTTTAAAGTTGAACATAAAACTTTCTTAGGTCTTTCATCTTCAAACTAATCAACAAACAAAGTGCATAAACTAAGTTTTGAAGTAATACTTAAGGTATACCATCAATTATCAATAAGACTATTAGACAATCTTCTTATTATTAATAGAGTTTTTTTTATAATAATATAATATATTCTTTTACACAATAAACACCTTTATTTGTAAATTATGGTTATCATCTACGACTTGATACTTTTGACTTTTCAAAAATTGTTAATCCTATGACAAAAGATTTGACAAATTGTTTGTCAAAACTACATGCAACAATGAAGATAAAATTTTAGGAAGCTTAAGAATGACAAAAGCTCAATGCGGATGCCTATCGAAAAGAACAACCACAATTCAATGTATGTGACAAGGTATGGTTTTTTTATTGTAATATGAAGACTAATCATCCTTGTAATAAGTTGGACTATTGCAAGCTTGGACCTTTTTCTATTTGTGGATAAATCAATTCAGCTGCTTATTGAATACATCTACTAGAATCAATGAAGATCTATTCTATATTCCACATGTTTCTTTTTGAATCATATAAGACTATGAATATATCTAGAAGAAGACAAGTCCAACCTCCTCTTATAGAAGTGGATAATTATAAAGAATTTGAAGTGAAAGAAGTTCTAAATTCATTGCAGTGCTAAAATAAATTAAAATATATTGTCTATTGGCGCGAATGTGACATTAGTGAATGCACATGGGAACTAGCAAAGAATCTTATAAATGCAACAAAGGTAGTGAAGGCTTTTTATCAACAACATCTATCAAAATCAAAATGAAGAATAGTAAGACTTTGCTATAAAAGAAACATGGTTCAAGGAAGATTGCATTCTAACTTTTATCTTTATTTGTGGTTTCTTTGTATTTGTGACACTAAGTAAATGGAGAACCAACAACTAGTGGATTCAACTTAAGAGCCTTTCTTTCTTGACCTACCGAACAAGATATGGCGATTGTCACAACCTTCAAATTGACGCAATCGAGATGAAGATCCTGAAGAATGACATATTCTTCCTTGAATAGATAACGAGATACAATGCATTTGGTATCACAACCTTGGAAGGGACTCTCAATGTTTGGTGATTTTACTATAAGCAGAAACAACTCCTGATTGTGTACCAAATATTTTATTTAAAGGAAGTTATGAAGGCCTCAACAACGATCTAAGAATTGGGTGGTCTTTGCGCCTTGGTATGGGATACTATTGATGGTTGAGAGGCCCTATCAACCATCTTTAAAGAGAATAAAGATCAAAATATGTGACGAATATAATTCACCGCATCTTAAATTTCTTCAACATATGATGACCACTCCTTATGAAACTTGTCCCTAAAAGAAGAGTAATATGACAAACATACACATGTAAACCAATAATTACCTATATGATTAGATAAAAGTAAATAAAAGTAGATTAATTCTATAATATCTTCTATAAAAGCTTCTTAGAAGCTTTACAAATGCTACTTTGACTTTATAGGTGTCAATAATTGATTTTTTAGGTTAGAAACATGGTCAAAAAATTAGCCATGTACTACACATGTTAGTAGCTTGAAGAAAAAGCTAACTATATAGCGCACACATAGAAAACTTGCATTATAAGATAAGGCATATGTCTTGTAAAGTCAACACATATTAGAGGTCTTATAGAGCATTATCATGTAGCCCTCAATTAGATAGTATATATAGAGGCAAGAGTGAAGCCCTCTTCATTCTTGTCAATTCTTTTCTTGTTTCTAGTCTAGATTAAAGAACATCTAATTTCTTTGTCTTTTGACAATAATCATTCTAGTTTCCTTTTAATATACATACTACTTTATTTCTATTTTGTCACTTTCTTTTTAACACAGATTCCTTAGATTTATGCATCTTTTTCCAATTCATGTCCTTGACAAATATATGAATTAAAAAATCTTAATTAGGAACAATAATTAACTGTGATATTTTTTTTAATATTTTTTAAAAAAAATTGATCTATTTTTAATATATAATGGTGCTTCAAAAATCTTTAATTTATTTAATAAAATCATTGTACGTATTATTCAGATTTTTAATTATTTTCTAATATAAATAGATTGTTTTATATTTTATTGTTAGAAATAAGTGATTGTACTTAAGCTTGATATAATTATTAGATAAATTTAAAAAATTTAAATTTTTCATACGTATAAAAATAAAATAGGGTCCAAACTATTAGTTTTGATCAAATTTTTAGCCTTAAAACATTGATACATCAAATTTTATTATCAACATAAATTCAATATTTTTCTTCATAAAAATAAAAATTCATATTTTTATAATAAAAATGGAACATCAAATTAATTTAACTTATAATTAAATTTGAAATTTTAACCTTCAAATATTATTTATCTTATGATTATTTTTATTTTTCTTATTATTTTTACATGGTTTTAGATTCCATATTGCATATGTATATATGTATGTTTATATATATAACTTCCTTTCATCCTTTTTTAAATTGATATTTTTATTCGTGTGTTTTAGGCTAGAAAAAACCAAAGTATGAATTTTGTTTTGTCTACACAGTGTAAATATTGCATTACTAAGCACACATATTATAGAAATGAAATGTGGATCCACAAAACAAAAATTCTTTAGCATTTGTGAAAATTTTGTACAGTTTATTTTTGTCTTAGAAAAAAATGTTATTTATAATTTTAATGGTTATGGAAATATACGCATTTGATAAAAAATAATCATCTTGTAAAAGTACTTTGGAATTTTATTTCAACACTTTAAAAAAAATTATATACCTGATTTTAAGAATGTGCATTTAAATGATTCTGATTTTACTGTGAATATGGTTGAATGACCAACAGTTATTGTAGAAGTAATCATGCACAAAATATCCTAGAAAGTATTTATCATAGTTTTGATTTTCTTGATAAAAAGTTACTTAATGAGATCGCAAAAGAAGTAAAGTTTTTAGACATTGTCAAAAAATAAAATTTTAAAAGATGCTATCATTTATTTGTCCTTCAGATAATCCGACATTCTGTATATTATCCATATTGTCTACTTTCTTTTAATTTTTTTCAATAATGGTGGTAATTACATTTATGTTTTCTTCTTTTTATAATGTTGATCCATTACAAGTTGGTTTGGAATGTCAACTGTATATTGCACTTATGTATGTATATATATATATATATATATATACACATGCATATACATATACATATAGAGAGAGAGTCTTATGAAATCCTATACAATAAATAATAAGTAGCTGTGGTAATGTTTTACACGAATGACAAAACAGCAAACCCATAGAAGTCTATGCAATACACTTTTATATGTTTGTTTGTGGTATATATTTACTTCAAATTTAGTTTTAATTGGAAAAGAGATATTTCGATCACAAAGAATTCCAACTTATATATATATATATATATATATATATTAAACCAATGAGGAGAAATAGTATTTAACTGGGGTTCACTTATTGAGATATGAATATGGAAACGTTGAATTTTGACAAGTTGATGGACCAACACACCACCCTCTGACTTCTCCACCCACACTAATTTGGAACTTGGTGTTCATCGTGGCCTGGATCACACAGGGCAAAACGAATGAAACTGGATCCGCGACATTCATCCTCAACAGCCCAGCTCATCCCTCCATCCATGGATGAATATTTTCCTATTATTTCATTCGTTGGGGAAATTAGGTCTTGGGGGTTTCAGGGGGTATTCAAGGCACCGCGGCTTCCTACGAGGGCCCTCTTTCGCTCGAGTCTGCATTGCTCGCGCTCACGCACCCTCTGTGCCGTTGCTTGCACGCCCTCTCGTCTTTCACCATGAGTACGTCTCTCTATATCCTACGTTCTTTTCTGAGTTTTTTGGGTACAGTGTTTTTTACAGGTTAGATCGTCAAGTTCGGTAGGTTCGGAATCACTTGGTTTAGGGTTTATTGTTGTTGATTGGCCTTCGAATTCAACCTTTGCAGGTAAGGTTCACGGATCCTTGGCCCGTGCCGGGAAGGTGCGTGGTCAGACTCCCAAGGTCGCGAAGCAGGACAAGAAGAAGAAACCGAAGGGTCGTGCTCACAAGAGGATGCAGTACAACCGTCGGTTTGTGACTGCAGGTGAGTCTGTGGGGTCTTGATATTTAGGGTTTCATTTAGGTTTTCATGTTGCGCCGCAATTGTATTTCTATGTGAACATGGTCTGACACATATTGTGATACGATGTCTTTTCGTGGCTGTGATGTAGTTGTTGGATTCGGCAAGAAGAGGGGTCCCAATTCATCTGAGAAGTAGAGTGTGATGTTGCCTATTCAACGTGGCATGTAAGTGTGCTATTTTACTTTACGTGCATTTACTCCCGTTTAATTAGCTAGTCGAACGAATGTGACGCATTGGAGAGACCCTAGGCATGAGTGTTAGTTTAACATAAAGAGGGTTTGACGGCTAGGACTTTTGATTAAGCTTAGGTGGCTGCCTGGGGTTCTATTGGGAGAATTCGAAAGAGCCTCATGCTATCGAAAATAGAACAATCAACCGGAGCATATTTGTTTTTACGGGAGCAGCGGGATCACACTGGACTGCTTTGTGATATTTTAGCGCTGTCCTAAATGTGTGAATCTCTGAGTACATTTCAAGGAGTATTTGATGACTTCGAGTTCCGTCTAACTTTGTTTTTCATATTTGCATCTGCAGGCCATGGGCTAGGTTCGCAATCATGGTCTACGTAGTTTAATTCCAGCGGCTGTTATGTTTCCGACCTTAGAAGGAAATCATATAACATGATCATATCAAGGAAATTTGTCCTTGATTTCATGTAGCTTGGTTGAAGTCTGGCATTTTGATTATCATGATTTCATTTGACTGGTTTTCAACCTCTATCCTTGTGTTAATGCCGAAATTATTTAAAGTTTTCGGAAATTCGCACTGAACCATGAAACAATCTTTGTTGCGTTCTTTTTCTACCGTGTTGTTGTTGTTGTTGTGCTTTGTCTTGCTTTTAGTCACTGATGATAGACCCTTCGTACTGATTCTACTTTGGAACCAATATTGAAGTAGGACTACGGGGGTTTGCCTCACTTTTTTCATTGATATTGAAGTCGCTGGTTTTTGAATGTCTGCCTTGCTTCAGCACTTTCCGTTGTTTAATTTTTTAACTCCATTACAAATTAGCTCCAGCCGGACTGTTGGTGTGTGATAGTTCCTCAGCTAATATTTACAGTGGTTTTATATGTCATAGCCAATGAGGTGTCTGGAATATTGATTTTTACATTTCACTTTGTATCTAATCAGATACGGAACTACGTGGACAAGGTGTTCTGTACGATATACTAAACGTGCCTTGGAAAAAGATCTTTATCGAATATTACTCTACACACCTTGGTCGAAGTCTGTTAATAGATGCTCGACGATAGAGAAGTGGATGTGGATCAGTTCAGCTGTCCTATATTTCCCGATCATATCGAATGCCTCCGCTGTGTGAATATAAACTACCTCGTTGCAGTGTCTGTTCAATAGCTTTGTACATGATTTCTTAGACGATGGAATATATGGGGATCCACTTTGAAGAGTCAGTTTCCTATCCCAATTGTCATTCCTGAGTGGTGCTTTCTCAAGTGGAGTAGATCCAATTTTGTCCTGAGTGGAGGCTTGAATAGCATTACACATGAAATGAAATTGTACAGTTAAGCCGGGGAATGCCAAATACACAGTCACATGTTTGTGAAAGGCAGATGGGTGGATCTCGTGAGGCCATTGCGGAAAGTTCCATGTGATCATATCACATGCAATTGCGTTAGATTCCCCACTTTTCTTTTGATAACAGGCAAAACGAAACACGAAACTTGTGGTAGATTCAAAGTATGTTTTAGATAAGTTGGTTGTGTAACGAGGAATGAGTGAAGCATTTGGATTGTGACACTTGTGGTATAAAAAATTCTGCTAAACCCACATTTCTCTTCTTCATTAGGTCTTCTAATACATCAACCATGTTGTGTAGCCACATGAATTGTATATGATTTGAACTCCCTTTTCGCACTTCGTGTCTCCTTCTGTAGGCAAATTTGCATGCGAGCGCGCACAAAAGTTAACTCCAATTAACCTCACATACAACGTTGCTCAAACAATCTGTTACAGAAATGTTTCTAAACAAACATGTCATGCCATCTTTAGGATTGCTGGTGAAAAGACTCAAGATTAGCAGTTATACTATAATGGCAATTCCAGTTGGCGAAGTCGCCTCAAAAAACCCCTTCCATCAGTCAATGTACTATGGTGGAACGACGTCAATGACGAGGATCGCTTCCCACGTTCTTCTAAGTCCCCCTAGTCATTTGAAATGTTGCACTGCATGTACCCACACTACAAATTTTCATTGTAAGTTCTTCTTCCATACAACATTCTAATTGTTTGTAGAATACTAGATGAGTAAGGAGGGTCATTCTGATAGTGGTAAATAAACACTGCTGGAGAATCTAGCTTCCCTCAGCTACGTGAACTTGATTATTAACCTTGGCTCTATAATGTTAGAATAATCACCAAAATTTTGAACAAAGTGACGCGTATTCAAATCTCGTTGTGTGATTAGAACAGCAGCACTGACATCCAGGAAGACCAAAATAACACCCACACTACTAAGCAAGCATAGGACTAACTGACAGGCCCAGGCCAGAAAGGACCTCGATCAGGACCTGACATATGGACGGCGGTTCTTCTTCTTCTATGCCCCCCCGTGGTGAAAGGGAAGCAGTGCGGTGGTGGATGACCGTGGCGGAGGGCCTACTGCCAATGCTGATAGACTTGGGGGGTGGGGTGAGGCACTGACGTGAAGACGTTGGCATGATGCCATCCAGCCAGGATGTCGTCATCGCTGCCGATAAGAATAGGCCTCTTCATAAGTCCCTCCCCCCTCCCCTGCCCGGATGAGGGAGTTAGTGTCCCCCTGCCTGCCCGGATGAGGGAGTTAGTGTCCCCCTGCCTGCCCGCCTGACCAAATGGGAAAATAATGTGGACATGCGGGTGGTGGAGAACTTGTGTGGCAAACTGGAGACGACGTAACTGTAAAGGAAGGAAGGGAAAGAGAGAATATGAGGTCATGTGAGCATTATTATTATGAGCTCATTTTTGCATGTTCTCATCAGATTCATGGCATCACCATCATCACTCCCCAAGGCATCTTGCAGCTCCAGCTACCCAATTTCCATTTAACACTCACTCACTCACTCACATAAGAAAAATATGTGAGTGCATGCATGAGACTTTTTAGAAAAAGAGGGTCTATTTTATAGGAAATTGGCCAGACACAAGGTTTTTATACCAAAGGGAAAAGTCGGCGCCTTCTACCAGCCACATGAGCTCACCGAATGAGAACATGTATATATATATATATATTTCTTTCTTTCTCTTGCGAGACTCCAGACGGGCAGGTCCCAAACTACCAGTACCTCTTTTCACACTGGCACAACTCATGGCGGTTGGTGAGGGAGGCGGGCAGCTGCCGGAAGCTCCTGATACCGTGGAACCACTGCCGTGGGGGCGGCGGTGTGTAATCTCTAAAACTGGCTGGCGATAGTAAATTTCTTAGTTTGTAGCATCATTTTGACCGAAACATCAACACTCATGGAATCTCGTAAGGGAAATGCTGGATCTGTATGTACTTACACACACCCATGTATGTGTACACCACCTTAGTGGCACTCCCCAAAATAACAAAAAACTCCAAAAAAAACAATGGTTTTGGGTCATTTCAAGACCACTCGGACATCTCGCTTGTGGATTTTCACAACGCCAATTTGCAGTCAATCTCTTCACTGACAGTCTGGGTTTGTAATACATGGTGCAGTGAATCTGGGCAATCATCCTCGTGAAGGATTGGACCAGGTACATTGTACGAGGAGGAATTCTAATTTCGGAAGCTGAACGGAGACGAGCATCGGTGAGTCTAAGCGACGGAAAGTGTGGAGAATTAATTCTATTCGTCCGTCGTTCCTCGGTTGTGGATGTCGCAATTTTTACTGTAACCCCTCAAATAGTAGCGAAGTATTTCGTATTGCGCCTACAAAAAGCTCGAAATCGGTTATGGATAAAAAGGAGGCTTGAAAGTTATACCTTTCGTGCAGGCAGGTCCATGACCTCATCAACCAAGAGCCTGTTGCTCGGAATAGAGGGGAATCTGTGTGAATGTGGAAGCGAAAACAAGGAAATTGCGATTCCCGAACACCCGGCGTTTCCAGGGAAGTGACTGGTGGGGGAATCGAAGACTCACATTACTCGCGCGCTACTACCCGACGAATTATCAGATTTAGAGCGTCTCTTGCGACATAGTCTGTCACTGCATTCGATCGCGACGATAGCACAAACTGACGTTTCTAGGGTCTCCTAAGGTGGGTCGTTTTCACGATCTTCTGGGACTGTCGGGCGTTTTGAAAGTTGCAGTACTGTGACGTGCAGGTCGAACACGAAGCATTTCAAGTACATGGTTGGATCAGTCTTGTCAGTATCTCTGGCGTCGACAAGGTGAGGGATCTGGAGAAAAAACAGTTGTGAAAAACGTTTCGCTGACACCACGAGAGAACAAGGTTTACCTTTGTGATGTGCAGTAATGGGAGACGGGGTAGTTGGAACTTGGGGCACATCAGTCGATATTTGAGAGCTTTTGAAGTTCAAAGTCTAGGTGAAGTGCTGGTGGAACTCTGAGAGGGTCCTGGTTCACTCAAACTCTGGTGACACTAGAGTTATGAGAGTAACGAACATTGCCTTTCGGTTCAATGTAGGCATCGTCGAGGTTGTTGCGCTGGTCTGCTGTACATGTTCATTCACTTCAACGGTTTTGACAAGAAAAAAGGGAGAAAGAGAATTCTTGTTCTCCTCAAATAACTTCTATACTTCGGAGGCACCTGAAGTTTGCAGCTGGAAATGTTCCTGCAATTCGGAAGAGCACTTTCCAGAATCGGTATTCTGAAATTCTAGACTGGATTCAGTAATGTCGTGCGAAACCCAATGTTGTCCGCTGGTAGAGTAGGTGCTTCCGTGATTGTGTGGGACGATTTTAATACTCAGTGCCACTAGTTAGCGCAAGACTTTTTTCATTTTCTGCAATGTCATGTTTCCCAGTCGAATGTTCTTCAACGTAGTAGAAGCGGATGACTGTCAAGGCTCTCGTTGTTCGGTCTGCACTTGCCGTATCTGACGTGAGCCTCGGACCTCATCTATCGCTGTCCTTGGCGGAGTCTTCGACTGGCGTTGTCTCGAGGACACCCTAGCCTAATGATTTGCAAGTCCACTTCCAATCAAGGGACCTCATACATCAGTCCCATCCACTTGTGTGAGCCCGGAATTTATTCCGCTACGTGCCAAACGTATCCGAAGGCGTAAACTATTACAGCTTTTTCCCCCAAAGTAACAATGTCGACATAGAGACATCCCACCGGTTTTCTCAGTCATGCAGTACAGTTTACGATCGAAACGGCGTGTAAGTACGTGCGGGTTTTCACATTCTGTTCACCAAGACAGTTCCGGATTCCCCAGGTCTATCGCCAGCCTAGTGTGATCTCATGGAATATGAAAAGTGGTCCAAACAAACAGCTCTATTCTCGTTTTTTTGGTTCGACGTGTCATCATCGGTGGACAAGAATAGTGTCGTCCTCATGAGTTCCTTATTTACTTGGAGCAAGATCAAACTCATGATCTCTGCTCTACAAATGCGCACTCTGTTTGTCCTCTCTTGCCCAGCAGTTGGATATGCAGCTCTGCATTATGCCACCGCATGCTTCTGGTGACAAAAGGTGCTTGCAGCTGGCTACCTTAGCGTAGCTTCGGACATCCAAATGCGGCAGCGATACTCGTAGTGGTGGAGTTCGAGGGAGGGATATGAGAGACAAGGCGACGAGTAGCTTCGGTTTCCGTAACACATCATAGGAAGCAGGTGTGAGTTTATTGGTCTCTGAGTCCCGATTTTTTTTTTTGTGGGTGAAGATTTTATTGTTTGAATCGAAACTCCCCGTAAATGATCTTACAACATAACGTTCCGTTGCGAAATGTTGAAGAATACGAGGAAGTATCACGTCTGTGATCTGAATGCTCGTCAATCGTTCTTCCTTGGCTATGGTGCCGCTTCTCGTGCCTCCTTTCGTTAAATGCACCGCCCAAGTGTTGAGAGAAGCCACCTCCAATCCCAGTCCTGCTCGAAATTGTCTGAGGCAGATTGGGTGCGCCTGTAGAGTTTCCGCTTGCACCCGAATTGGCGTCATTTTTAAACGTGTTCATGTAATAACCGTCCCTCCAATGCGTGATGGACAGATCGAACGAGGCCTTCCTCAACTTGTCTCTCACAATCTCGGCTAGGCAGAGGGGACAAAAGCTGAGTCGTTCTCTGTAAAGACGATTGACGGGCCACGGTGAAGACAAGGGACACAGAAGGCGGTCGCAGACATGGGGTCCTTAGGAAAGGAGGAGTTCCAGCGGATCGCGTACCCCCACGTCCGTCGGGATGAATCGGTGATTGACTTTTACCACGGCGTTCCAGTCCCGGATCCTTACCGCTGGTACGGTTTGTCACTTCCCGCTCATTCGATTTTGAATTTGAGAGATTGCTCCAAATGGGTTCCTCCAGTACTCTTCCGATTATTCATTGTCCCTGAAGCCAAATCCCCACCTCAGTTTTGAAAGCAGGCAGAGGGAAATTTATTTGCGAATTTCCACAACCTAGGAATTGTCTGTAGCCTTCACGGCGTCATTCATCGTGTTCGTGGAGCTCACATTTCCGACAAGGAATTTTAAAATCCCAAGGCTAATTATAAACGTCCTCTTTCAGGTTGGAGAACCCAGATGCTCCTGAGGTGAAGGACTTCATTGCAAAGCAAGTTGAATTGGCTGACGAGGTGCTAGCGGGATGCGACACGCGGGATAAGTTTAAGGAGAAGGTTACTGCTATGTACAATTATCCTCGTTATGGATGTCCTACCAAACGCGGCAAGTATTACTTCTACAATCACAACACTGGCCTTCAGTCTCAAGCTGCGCTTTACATTCAGGTTATTGTTTCTTCAGTCCTTACTCTCCATCTCCCATCTCACTCTACTTTTGCAGAACCTCTATTTTCCTCAAGCTCATTCCAGTTGTAGTAGAAATGCACCTACTTTTAGAGTTTTATGAGAATCGTTTCCACTTTCATAAAAATTGTGGTGGTGTCTGTGGATTTGCAGGACATCGAAACTGGTCACTCCGAAATTGTGCTCGATCCCAACACGTTGAGCAGTGACGGCACTGTGGCTCTGTCGACGAAAAGGTTCAGCGAGAATGCGGAATTTTTGGCCTACGGACTGAGCTCAAGCGGAAGTGATTGGCTCACCATCAAAGTCATGCGTGTGAAGGATCGAGTCGTGTTGTCCGACACTCTCTCTTGGGTGGGTTTGTCAAATCTTCAGTAATTTGTTGGAGAATGATTGTATTGACAGGGGCGTGTTCGGCATGCATTGTATTAGCTATTCCGCGATTACTGACGTGGAGCCTTGTAACCTTGGTGCCAGGTCAAATTCACGTCCATAGCTTGGACTCACGACCACAAAGGTTTTTTCTATAATCGATTCCCAGAGCCCAAGTGTGTCACGCTCAACACCAACTCTAATTCTTCTATCAATATAGCTGTCACTTCTTAGATGACTTAGCTCTGTTTTTAGTGGCTTGTTCTATTCCTAACTGCACACTATCTGCAGCAATTCTAATTTCCTCTGGCCTCTCCGGATCATTGATTTAACACTCTTTTTGGTGACATCCGTCCAGAAAGCGAGATGGCACCGATGCGGGAACTGAAACTGACATAAACTTGTTTCATGAGTTGTACTACCACTTTCTCGGCACCAATCAATGCGAGGATATCTTGTGCTGGAGGGATATAGAGCACGGATCGTGGTTAACTGATGCTAAAGTATCCGAGGATGGCCAGGTTTGTTATCTGAGTCCTTGCTCCTGCTCCTTACTGCGTCATTTCTCTCACTAACATTTCTCTCACTAAACCACAGACGCTCTATCCTTCACAAATTTAAGACGTCGTATTCTGTATTTCTGTGCAGTACTTGGTGCTGTCTATCAGTGAAGGATGCGATCCAGTGAACAGACTCTATCTCTGCGACCTTTGTGCACTTTCGGGTGGTTTGGCAGGTTTTCTTGGAACGAATACGTTGCTACCTTTCCAAAAACTCGTCGATTGTTTTGAGGCGCACTTTGATTATGTTGCCAACGATGGCCCAGTCTTTACGTTCTACACTAACAAAAATGCGCCTAGGTATAAGGTATCCAGAGTCGACGTTGGAAATCCGGCTGTCTGGTCTGACGTGATTCCGGAATCACACAGCAATGTAATTACGTCTGTAAAATGTGTTAATAGCAACCAACTGCTGGTGTGCCATATCAGCGATGTGAAGCATGTGCTTCAAATACACGACCTTGAGACCGGCGATTTTATCAGGAGACTTCCCATTGAGATCGGCACAGTGAACAGTACTTCTGGCTCTCGCCGCGACCCCGAGGTTTTTTTCAACTTCACCAGCTTCTTGACTCCCGGAACCGTCTACAGGTGTGATCTGAGCGCTCCCGAGCCGGAGCCGCAGGTGTTGCGTGAGGTTGGCCCTTCCAATTTTGATCGCTCTATCTTCGAAACCAAGCAGGTGCGCAGTCGGTTTTTCTATTCTACAAGTCTCCCCCGTTGCAAAGTTAAATACTGCAAAGGAGCTTTGAAATCATGCAGTAAAATGCTTCTATGTTCCAAATGCAAGATCTAATTCTTGATCTGCCAGGTTTTCGTGACAAGCAAGGATCAAACTAAGGTCCCCATGTTCATAATCTCAAGGAAGGGTTTAGTCAAAGATGGCAATCACCCAGCGCTCCTCGTCGGTTACGGAGGATTCAACGTTAGCATGACACCCAACTTCAGCGTATCCCGCCTCGTTCTCGCTCGCCATTATGGAGCAGTCGTGGCAGTAGCCAACATCCGGGGAGGTGGGGAGTACGGAGAAGAGTGGCACAAAGATGGCACGCTTTCCAAGAAAAAGAATAGCTTCGATGATTTCATTGCATGCTCTGAATTCTTGATCCGCGAGGGCTACACACAATCCAACAAATTGTGCATTGAAGGATCCAGCAATGGCGGATTGCTTGTGGCTGCGTGCGTCAATCAGGTGATTTCAACCTCCGAGTCAGTGGTGTTGCTAACAATCTCCTGAACATGGGATACTGTGCAACTTTTGTATCTCATTTCCTACTCACCTATTTTCCTCCTTTGCTCTCCAGAGACCTGAACTTTTTGGATGCGCCTTGGCTCATGTGGGCGTGATGGACATGTTGCGATTCCACAAGTTCACAATTGGTAAGCTGTAGCGTGTTCTGTCACCGTTTTCTTCCACGTGGAGCAGATGAGTCTTTTATGAAGCAACCATTGCAATTTGAGGCCGAGCAATGTCTTGAGATTTGCAACTTCACAGTGGTACTGTACGAGGAGAGCTAAAAAGTATAGGAGGTTTTTGACCAAGATCTTTTGACCTGGTAATCCCGCAGGACATGCGTGGGTAACAGATTATGGCTGCTCAGACAAGGAAGACGACTTCCATTCTCTCATCGAGTGAGTGTTGAAAAGTAGCTACATAAAGTCTCCTGGATCACTGCAAAGAACTGAGTCGCCGGTGTTGATTGAGTTCATGAGATGCTCATGTGCTAGGTTGTTCAGCTCTAATTCTTAATTTTGGACAATCCAGGTACTCCCCATTGCATAATGTATGGAGACCGTGGGAAAAGCTGATTGGAGTGCAATACCCTCCAATCATGCTCTTGACTGCTGATCACGACGATAGAGTGGTGCCCCTTCATTCTCTAAAACTCCTTGCGGTAAGAATGCATCAAGTAAAAGTGCTGTATTGTTGGGTTTAACACAAGCACAACTGTTGGCCTTTCACTAATCTCCTCTTCCGGCACATTTGACCATTTCTAAACTTTGATGCTCACGTTGTTTGAATGTGAATTAGACCCTCCAGCACGAGCTCTGCACTAGCGTGGAGGATAGTCCGCAAACGAATCCCATCATAGGGCGCATTGATAAGAAAGCAGGACACGGGTGTGGACGGCCCACACAGAAAATGGTGAGTACCATCAGGCTCTTCAGTGCAGAATGCCACCTGATTGCGCTACTTATAACCAGATGGGAAAGTTTACTCAATGTCGGATGCGCAATATTTTGCGAGAATTGATCAATAGACTTGTATTTTTGTTTCTTGCGTGCAGATTAATGAAGTTAGTGACACATATTCTTTCTTCGCCAAGATGACACGATCCTCATGGGTGGAATAGGGCTGCGAGGAATTTGCATAGAAATTCGATTTTTGGGCTTCAATTCTCGGAGGTCTCATCTTTAATATCTTGCACCTATATTTTGTAAGGAGCTGAAATACTCGCAGGGTAGCTGAACATATAAATACGCGCACCGTAGTCTTGTTACCTTGCGAAATTGGAGTTTAGCAAGGTGAGCACCAGCATTGAATCGTAAAGCTGACTGCTTAAGTTGCGTCACAGCTGTGACTCCAAACAATTTTGATCCCTCTTCTTTTTATTGACATCTATATATATATATATATATATATAGACATACATATACATTTATATATTAATTATATATTTTCACAAGCTGCTGAATGTAGTAGCGGGTACACCATTTCGAACATTTTCTGTTGCAAGAACACATTCCATGTATGCAGCTTGTGACCGATGGTTCTTACATCAAATAAAAATTGCCCAATAGTCGTTCCATCACACAATCGCTCTTATCTACATATCGGCTCCGGCTCCTTAGTGTTATACGAATGATACTGCTAACAGAAGATGCAGATGACTGTGACTAAAAGATTCATTTTAACGGTGGTCTTCAGTGCAAAGTACCAGTGGTTTCTTCATCAAACGTCGCAATTTTTAACGTCGATTGACATTCGTTTCCCTTACACATCGAGAGTAGAATGGGACTTCAAGACTCTGATGTGCGGGAGGACACACTCTACAAATTCTCAACTGACTTTTCGCTGCAAGATGTGCCGCATATCAAGCAGTACGATATGACCTTGTCAAATCCCATATTATGCAACAACCTTGATGTCATTCCAAGCAGAACTCGAGTGGATTTGAAGGCTCCCCTGTTCCTCATCGAAATATTGGTAATTGCTGGACTGGCTCATACTAGGTGTCCAGTATGTGTCCCCTTAACAAGAATACCGCTCCCTGTGGATATGATGCATGTGAAGACTTTTATTCCCGCAATGTGTAATTGACGTTATTGATGGGCGATTTGGGCAAGACACCCACTAGATGCTGCGAACCCTAATTTCGAATTAGGATATCAATTGAAAGGCTGATTAACCCTGCAAATACAGAAGGGACTTTGCGATGCTTATGCAGTGCTTTCTCTTCAGTAAGAGTCCCAGAGTGGTCCCAATTGACCATCATTTAGTACTAATGCAATTCATAAGAGTTGAATTGACATCTGTTAAGTTTCCGGCCGACTAAATCAAGATATATACGCCAGACTTTCTCACCGGCAGCGGCAAAGCTTTTGGAATCCTCGCAAGCGATAAGGCAGCAAGCATCCAGATTCGCACGGTCGTCAATCCATTAAAAGTGAATCAGTGTTGCCGTAGGATCGAAGTGGAAAGTGGTCGTGCGTCATTACTGCTGTCGGTTGGATGCACCGCCCTGTTCAACTTTTGAAACTTGAAAGTCATGTTCTGCACGGGAAGATTAATTTTTTGATTCCCAACAACCATGCGACTTGGATCGACATGCAGCGAATGGAAGATATCACTAATTCAAGCTGCGTGGCGGTGACGTTCGAATGTGCTAAAATGCAGAAATTCAATCCTAACTCTTCTGTTCGATGCCTCCAATTGCTCGTCCAAGAATCAGCTATACCTGGCCAGATTGGAGTTCTTGCAAGAGCTAGTATCCGTTCAGAATCGAAGACTACCAAGTCAGTGATGAATGTTACGAATTGATAGTCACCGGAAGTACTTAATGATGCTTCCGGTGTGGGTTACACGGGCTGTGTCTACCGGCCTCCTCTCTTATACTGAAGTTCATTCAAATGCAGAGCCAGAAAAAGGCGAGTTTATGCACGATTCACAGCGAGAGGCAGGCTTGAGTTCTGTAATTTCGGATTCGTAGCTGGTAACCGGTGTCCATGAAATGCCCATTCAGTCCCCATGCTGCTTGAGAATCCACTCAAATTGAAAGCACCGACACTCTTCAGAACTGGACACTATACCTGAGCAAATCTGTGTACAACTTGCTTTCCTATTGCTGAAGAGCACATTTCGATGGCCGTTCACCGATATTTTTCGCTTTGACCGAATTTTAATTGTTGATTTGCCAGTTGGTTTACCTTACACAATGAGTAAGCTGGATTCGACGAGTCAACATTCACATTAGATTACTTCTAAGTTGAGTAAATAATTTTGTTTTGTGATTAGATTGCAATTCAAAGTTGACGCTTCCAGTGAGTGGTTTAGATGAGTTTAGGCATGAATCTGTGGAATCATGAGTTGCGTAAGCAAACTTTCTATCCAACTTCCACGATTACGATTGGCAATTGATTCGCAGGTTTGTAATCTAAATACAGTGCGAGGCATGATAAAAAAAATTGAAGCATCTGCAAGAGGCTCTGTGCTCTGCCAAAGTTTGATTCTCAAGTGCCACAATTCGATGCAATCGACGCAGATGAATACATTGCTAATATCATTAGGCCGCTTGCAATGAAGAGTTTCAAGAGCTTGGGCATGCATCGATAATTCAAATCATAGCACCCCACAAGCTAGACGAGATTAAGAGCTTCTTATAAAAGTAGAATGGTCACAATTACTCAGATGGAATCGTCTATCATTAGAGTCACGATACGATTTCTTTACTAAATCTTACAAATGAGCCTTATTGGTATAAATTTCGCCGAAGCGTACACAATTGTATGAATGATACATGAGTTTTCACCTTCAAAGCCCACAATATCCGAAGGCCAACCACAAAGATCTGTAAAACCATGTACATAGTATCCTCTATTATACAGCTGCAGAAAGATCAAAAAAATTCCATTAATCTATGACAAGAGGATCTCCGATGGTGAAATTCAAGTGCAACTGCCCACAAAGCAGAATTACGGCTGTATACGGGCATGGATAGTTTATCAGCAAGGACAAGAATGACAGGAGCCACCACGCTATACCTGTCTTCGAATCCCAGAGAACGTCAAGGAGAGACCGAGTCAATGACGCAACAGTTGGAAAGGATTCATACGCCAATTTACTGCTTGTTCTTGGGAGATTTGAGGTTGTGCAATTTGTCCATGAACTTGGACAGGAACCCTTCCTTCTTGACGCTGTCCTCCTGAGGGCCTGGGTGCGGGTGGCCTTGATTGTCAGTGAGAGTGGCCCCGCCGTGAGCGTTCGTCTCTCCTCGAGGATTTGTGGGGTGCGGCCAAGGGCCTGGTGCGCCCGAACTTGCCTTCTTGTGTCCCTCATCCTTTCCGAAATCGTTGCCTGCTGGTGGGCCGGTGGGATCCAAGGAGTGGCCCGTGAACCCATCACCAGAGGTTGTTCCGTAGGGGCTGGATTCGGGCGTGGCCCCGACACCGGAGCCGACGCTTGAATGAGGCGAGTGGTGATGATCCTTCTTCACACCTCCAAACAGATCCTTCACTTTGTTCACCATGCTTTTCTTCTCTGCTGGGGGCGCAGCGCCAACCAAGTTCGGATCCCCCGGCTTCAACTGCTTCTCAGGTTGTGCTGTGAAGGAGTCGTCAGTGGGCACTGCGCTGGAGGCCGTCGGCTGGTCCACTCCTCTGCCTTCGTTAAGACCCTTTCCCTGAACGTCCACATCAGGCGCAGCCATGTCCTGTGTCTCGGTTTCACTCACACAATGCACCTCTATCCGCTCGAACCGGAACAGCGACTGGCAAGTACTGACCAGCAGGTGCTACAAATCTCAAATTCCCCTAACCTCGGCTTCGATTACAACAGTGACAACAACGTACCCAACGAGACAAACCCCTCAAGATTCTCCTGCAGCTCCCAGTGACTAATTGGAGCTCCAGACGGAGGCGAGTTGAGAGAGAGAGTGAAATAATGCATGCACGATTGCGAGCCTATAAAAGAGAAAAGCTTCCAAATGCCATATATGCAGAGCCTGCAGCGGGTGGATTGAGAGTGTCACGCGCAAGGGAACCGACGGGGATTGCGCAGCTGCCGGTGTGGTGAAGGAATCGATCCAGGAGAGTGTCGTTCACCAGGCTGGAGCTTCGTAACTTCCATGAGTATGGCAGGACACGTGTTGAAGAAGCGCGCTGTGATTCTATACCGAAACGAGGCTCGCCGTCCTGTCACGGGGTTTCTGGAAGACCCACGCTCGAGGGTCCCACAATGGTGAGCCCCATCACACAGCAGTACAGGCGGCGATGCTCAATCTGAGTCCCCTGCGGATTCTTCTTGCTTGCTTCATTGCTTTCTGGTTTGACAGATTTGCATGGCTGTTGGACGGCGGGGCGAGCCCACTGCGCATTTCCTCGCTGCTAAATCCTTCCGCGGTCGACAGCCAGATTGTGGGGGCGGACCCGATGCAGTCCCACGGTTGCGGTGACGGTTCGGAGAACCAGCTTCCACCTCAGCGGATCTGCACTCCCTTCCGCCATGAGGACGAGCCACTTTCCTCAAGCTTCGCTCGCTTTCCCGGTGGCACGCACGCACACGCTCACGCAAACAAGCAACTCCCCCGAAGCAGGTTCTGTGGAGGGACACGGCAATTGCAAGGCAACTCTTCATGAAAGAAGGAGCCCATTTCTCTTGCACTTCCCCTACCTAGTTGTAGTGAGCAACCACTTATGATGATGCAAGTTTATAATGAACTAACGCATTCTTGGTATGCAAGAATGTTGTGTATGTGAAGCTTTAGCAATTATTGTGGGAATCATATTTGATTAAGAATGAGCAAAGATACATATGGCTTACAATTGAGTAGTACATGAACCTCAAGAATAAATTAAAGTTTTTTGAAGAGACTATTTATTTATTTATTTATTTAAAGTTCCTTCTAATAAGGCCTTGTATTTTGTCTTCATAATATTCTTAGATATAGTTGCTTGTTGTTTGCTGGACCATGAGATTGGTCTAAATGCTTAAATAAATACATAAGAGCCAACAAAATATTTAACATCAATGAAACTTACATAATCAAAATTGGTGAAATCTTGAGGTTTAGAATATAAATGAAGAATTTGTTATCAACAAATGCCAAAATTAGTGGTCATTTTCAAATAGAAAAGTATGTGATCAAGGACTTCTAATACTGTTCTTGTAGTTATGTTGTGACCTTGTTGATAATTCATATTGTACATAATATTTTTTCATTATTGTGAATTGGTTAAAATAAATAATTTTTCTACAACATGATAGTAAGTTGTTTCATCTAGACGTGAAATGCTTAATTTAGTTTTTAAAATATGACCTTCAAGCATGGGTGTCAATTTTGCAATTGCTTCATCTATTCTAGCATCATTAGGTATTTTTTTAGTTACTCTTTTAATATAAAAACATGCCTTTAGAAGTCTCAATTTTTTTTTGTATCTAAATACTTTTAAAGTAGCCATAAGTCTTTTATTTTATATTTATTTGCTAATTAATTTTTAACCTAAATTTATACAAAGAATTTATTGTTACTAATAGATCATTAATATAGTAAATTATGATGGTGATAGCATTAGATTTTTTTTAAAAATAAAGATTTTGATCTATATAATTTCTTATCTATTTCAAGTTGTATAAATAAGAATCAACTTTTTGATACCATGTTCTTCAAAATTATTTAAGTTTGTATATAGATCTTTGAAGTCTACATATTTGATGTTCATTTCTTCATACCTCAAAACATGGTAGTTGTTTTTTATACAAATAAGTTCTAAAGTTTATTAAGCAAAAAAATTGTTACTACATTTACATATTTAAGATCCTAGTTTAGAGCTACGTATCACAAATATACTTAATTACCTAAATAAGAAGTATTAAGTAGAAGATAAATATATATGGATTTGATAATATCTTATAGTGAAGCTTCTAAAAAGCTTCACAGATGCAAATTTGACTTTGTACATGTTTATAGTTTGATTGGTAGATTAGAAACTTGGCCAACAAGTTAGCCATATAATAATAGCTTATTGTATAATTTGACCATGTGGCACACACATAAGAAACTTTTCTTGCAAGTTAGTCACATGTCTTGCAAATTGGACACTTGTTGGAGGTCTTATAAAACGTTGTTATGTAGCTCTTAGTTAGATACTATATGTAGAGGCAAGAATGAAGCCTTCTTCATTCTTGTCAATACCTTCCTTGTTCTTAGTCTTGTTTCAAAAGTCTCTAATCTTCTTGTCTATAGAAATAAACATTTTAATTTCAATACTATATTATTTTTGAATGAATATCTAATCATTTATAGTGATATAAGAGTATGTTGAGGACTTTATAATTTGTGATTCATGTCCTTGATACTACATAGAGTTCAATTATAATTTTGAGAGTAGTCCATTTAACATGTATAATAATTTTGTTATAGTGTAATCTTTCAATTTATTCTAGGTCTTTTGTAATTAGGCATGATTTCATCCATTTATGTGTACGATTCAATTCATGCCTTATTTTGTAAATTCATTTAGAAGAGACTATATTTTTTTCTTCAAGTAGTGAATCAAGCCTCTATAAATTTTTCTTCATTAGTCTCTATTTCAATCTTAGCTTACATAGATAGCCCCAACTTTAATTTTTAAATGACATCTTTGAAGTAGATTTCTTTATTATTCGATTTTATAGTATCAACAATAAATATATGAATGTCATTAATTATACTCAAGTCATAATCTTGCAATCAAATTGGTATGTACTTAATATGAAGCAATTTCCTTATTGGTGCCATAAATTTATCAATTGTATAACTTATAGTGTTTATATATATATATATATATATTTTTTATTTTATTTTATTTTTTTTATAGAATTATTGTATTCATAATCAACTCTTAGCTCTAATCTCTCTTATTTGATAAGACCATCAAATTAAGAAGAGACATTGTCAAGCAAAGTGCTGAAGAAGTGTGATATAATGGAAGTGTGTATACCAAAATTCTCAAGAAAATCTTTAATAAAAGTTATGTCTATGTTAACAACAATTTTTCTATACTTAAGATGATAACAACAATATTCTTTTGTAAGTTTATCATATCCTACAAAGATTATACAAAATGCTTTAGCTTGGAATTTAGAGCAAAGAACAAAGAGCAAAAAATAAAAATATTAATTGTATATCTAAGAGCATCTCCAACGTGTAGGGTCTAATCTAAGGTCTATTGGCAATTTTCTACCCACGGAGTTGAAATAGAACGATTCTATATAGAACCCCGTACAGTGCACAGGCGCACTACCATCTATCGTTCAAATTTAACTGCAATGATTCCGAGCATTCGAGACTGGTTTGATCGAGCCCGACGTGAAAATCTGCTTGACGATGACTTGGAGGAGTCCAGAATGCTGTTCAGTCTCAAACGGAAGACACCTGACGAGCCTGATCACGGAGGTTCTCGTCCAGGCCGAGCGGCCAACACTGACCGTGACTTTGAAGAAGGATATAGAAGAATATTTCAAGATTATTTTGCTGATCATCCAATTTACTCTTCAAAGTTGTTCAGGCGACGTTTCCGTATGCACCCTGAGCTATTTCTTAGAATCATGAATGTCGTTAAGGCCCAGGATCCTTGTTCGAACAGAAAACCGATGCACTTGGAAAGAAGGGTCTCTACCCGCTCCAGAAAATGGTTGCTGCAATTTGATTACTTGCCTACGGATGTAGCTACGATATAGTTGGCGATTATATTTGAATCAGTGAGTCTTCAACGAGTGATTGTTTGCAGCATTTCTATGCGACAGTTGAAACAGACTTCGGTCCAAAGTATTTATGCTCGCCAACAAAGGAAGATTTGAAGCGAATTCTCACAGAAAACGCTTCACGTGGATTCCCTGGGATGATTGGCTCCATCGATTGCTATAACTGGAAATGGAAAAACTGCCCGAAAGCTTGGCATGGCTCATACAGAGGGACGTCGATTGTGCTCGAAGCTGCCGTTTCTCATGACCTTTGGTTTTGGCACGCTTTCTTTGGTATGCTCGATAGCATGAACGACATCAACGTTCTTCAGCGGTCCCCATTGCTGCATTCTATTATCACAGACAAGATGCCATCGATCAATTACGTAGTCAACGAAAGTCCATACTCCATGGCCTATTGGTTAGCTCATGGAATCTATCTAAACTGGCCGGTTTTCATGAAATCTATTCCCAATCTTCAAGTAGCCGCAAGGAAACATTTTACAATGGTGCAAGAAGCGTGCCGTAAAGACGTCAAACGAGCTTTCGGTGTCTTATAAAGGCGATTTGCCATTGTTAGGAACCTAGCCCACAGTTGGTATCAGGAGAAACTGTCCTCAATCATGAGGGCCTGCATTATATTGCACAACATGATTGTTGAAGATGAAAGGTACTCTCCGGATTTCGCCACAGACCAGGAGTTTGAGACAGGCGAGATTCGTCCAGATCGCCGACGCCGTTGCCATCGAAGGACAGTGCAACCAATTGAGATCTATCGTACTGCCATTGAAGGTCTGCCCGCACATCTGGCAAAGGGCTGGAAATGAACAACAGGAAATCTTGTGTTGATGTATTAGTTTGGATAAATTCCCATTTCTTGGGCTTGCTGTTTTAATTTTTTCAACTCAATTTTTCGTTTCAGGTCATGAAACTGGCGGGCAGTATCATCTAATGCTGTCAGATCTACCGAGAAAAGAGCCAATCGATTCTGTTCTTTAATCAAATCGTTTCGACGTTGTGCTTCAACCACATAAGAGCGTTGAATACCAGCTTACTCGTCATCTTCATCCACGTTCTTTCAAATGATCTCTTTAGCCTTTTTGGTTCCCATAGGACGCTTCAATGGGGTAGGTTGACCCTCATCTGAAGATAAATCCACAACATCTTTATCTGGCCGCATGCTTTTGGAACGATTATCCTTAGGAGTCAGACCATGTTCAAACTTTGGAACGTGCTCTCGGAGGTATTCCCAGATCTGGCGGAATTTAAAGGAAGATTTCTCAATCTTGACATAAATTTCAAGGGCCTCTTCAATGTAATAGTCTTCCTGCTGTCCCGATTTTGGATCCGCCAGTGACATGGCAAAATGTCCCGCATATTTCGAACAAGACGATTGAATTGCTTTCCAGCGGTTGTACAGTGCATTAGAGGTTCGATTGGAATCAGGAATGAAGACTTGGAACTGCTGCAACACATGGTAGTAGAATTTGGAACTCTTCTGGTCAGCTCTACTATAGGATCATGACTAACATGGACCACTGAGCGGGCAAGGAACATGTCCTTATCGGAGCTCCAGCTCTTCCCGCGTCCAATGGCGTTTATCGATGCAGCAATGCAGACAGGAAGAGCAATATCGAGGTATCAAACTACAGTTCGTAAAAAAAAAAAGCTACTCTGTTCTACCCCTATGAGAATTGAACCCCAGCCTCGACACTCATGCAACTCCGTAGACCTTCGAGTAGCCAGCGGTCTATTTCCTTCAAAAATAGAATGGTCTATCAAATAGATAGCTTTTAGAACTGCGTCGGGGAACTCCGTGGCGGGTCTATATAGAATAGACCTCGGAATAGCCCCACGTTGGAGATGCTCTAAGTGATCTAAGGCAAGCAATTAATGGCTTTTGCTTAGAAAAAGACCACTATGGAGTGAAAGGATAGAAGATAATAGTAATACAATGGTTATAGATGTGATTTGTTGCTAAAACTATTTTAGCCCATAAATACAAATAAAACTTGGATCTCAATCTCTAAGAATGTTTAAATTTTTCTTTTTGCTATACAATTTTTGTATGGCATGTCTTTAGTAGCCAGTTGTCTAATAATACCTTCATTAGAACAAAAAACAAAAATTTCTTATGACATAAATTCTTTTCTTCTATTTGACTACAAATAAAAAATTAATTAAGAAATTATTTTATTTTATTTTATTTTATTTTTTGATTGTATGTATAAAATCCTAAAATAATAAAAAAATTGAAATATAAAAAATAATTAAATATGTCTAAAAGATTTTTTTTATAATCATAAAAACAAACTTAGCTAAAATTGAAGACTAAATAAAAGTGCATAGATTTGTTTGAAGTAACTAAAAGAAATGATTTGCTTAAGTAGAGCTTGCTTAGGAAATTAGTCACAATTTTTTTTGGTAAAAATACATGTAACACATTTCTTCTTTAAAATTTGTAAGCCTAAATGGATCTAAGACCAATTCTTGTAAAGATATGTAATGTTTTTGCTAGCAATTAATAAGATATAGGCATTGGTGCTATAGATCAAATAAATCAATAGTGTGGTAAGACTCAATATTGGTTGTTTTTGAAACTTATTCTTTAGCAATGTCAAAAAATAAAAACTAATTTTTGATGAGTAAGTATTAAAGACTTTTAATTTTTAATTTTTTTTTTATTGATTTTAAAGAATTTTGAGACAATAAAAGCTAATAGTAGTATCTTAAATGGTATAAAATTAATATGGTTGTTATTTATTATATACAAAATATAACTTTTTATCAAACTAATTATATGGTGATTATTTTTATATTTTTCTAATACACAAAAGATTACATTTTACACTCAAGACATACAAAAAATATTTAATAACATTATTTTTGTTAAGCTTTACATCTTTCTTGGTTGTAATAAAGAGTTTTGTATCATTGGCACTTGTCATAGATGTATAAGAACTACTATGTGTGAATTAAATCAAATTAGATTTTTCTTTTATGACATAATTTTTTGTAGCTAAATCTAAAAGCTATTCTTGCTTGCTATTACCTACTTTAGTAATGTTAAGCTCTTTAATTGTGTTGTTATTGGTGTAATTCTTAGATTTCTTTACAACTTATTTTTTTTGTAGATTAGTTATTCAAATTTGCAATTAAAAGATGTTTACATCGAATTTCTTTATATCATAACTAAACTCTTAATGATTTTTGCAACTATAATAGTTGTAGTTGTTAGGTTGCTTTCTTTAAATAAAAGATGGTTTAGAATTTTATTTATATTGATACTATTAAAAAATTAAATGTCAAGTAGTGGAGATGTTGCTGTCTAAATTATTATTATAACTTGTAAATAAATTTGAACAAAAGTTCAATATATCTTCTTTTGGAATATAATTATATTTCAGATTTTTTCCCATCTCTTTAGCATGCATTTATGCAACCAAATTAGCATTGACAAATTGCCAGAGTAAAATTTATTCCTAAATTTAAAATATAAAATGGCCTAATTAAGAATTATTTTTAATTTTTGGTGTGAAATAAAAGAAAAAGAAAAAAATCAAAGAAGAATAATACAAAAAAATAAAAGAATTTTAATCAAGAAATTATATAATACAAAACTATTCAAAATTTATTTGTTAGATTTTTATATAGTAAAAAAAAGATTTAAACAGGTATTTTTTATATTTATAATGATATAAAAAATAATTAAAATCTAAATTATTATAAATAATTTATGAAGATTTAAAGACAAAAAGTATAAAAAAAAAAAAAAAAAAAACGTATTTTAATCCAAGAATAATTTGCTAAAGAGATCAAGAATTTGAGCCTTACTAAGGCTCACAAGTATTATGTGAGGATATCCTAGAGGCCAAAAGGCCTTAGTCTTATCTTTCCACCTACATCCAAGTTGTTACAATCCATTTGGAACTTGTGCACCTCTTTTCTTACATTAATTATTGATTTTTCTATTTTCAACTAGTGTAACTACTATTTCATATTTTTTTATTTTACTATGGTATTCAAAAACACCCAAATATCCTAAAAACCTTGTAGAACCTTCAAATATTGCTCATATCCTTCATGATGGCCTTTCAAAAAGGTAAATTTATTTTTTTTCTAAATCTTAAAATTTTTATCTTATTTTTTCTAATAAATTTTAAATATATTTTTTATTTTTATTTTTATAATAATTTTATAATAATATTATTATTTTTAATATATTTATTATTATTTTAATTATCTTTTTATTTTAATTATATTAATTAAAATTAATTAATAATATTTTCTTTATATAAATAATTAAAAAGAGATGAGATTTTTTTTCATGCTTCTTCTATCTATTAAATAAAGTTTATAGGTTTTTTTATAAGTAATAAATATAAATAGAAGGCCAATATAGATATTGGTTTTGATAAATAAATATTAATGTTTACAATTAAAAAAAAGACTAAATCAACTAAATTTGTTGCTTCTAAGACTTATTAAGACTTTTTTTTGTAATTTTTTTTGAATAAGTCTCTTACAACTTATAAATACTTTTTAAGTATTTCTAATAAATACTTAATTAATCAAAATACTTTTTAATTTTAATATTTTTGCATCTAAATAACTTAAAATTGTGCTTTTAATAATTCGATCAATTAACATTCAATGGTGGAACTCACATGGGTTTGAAGAATTTAGCTATGTTAGATTTGAATATAAAGAAAAATACTTTTCAATTGAAAGGAATCTACCACTAGCATTGTTGTGTTGTAACATTGTTATTGGATTAAAGAGAAAAAAGAGGTTATATCATAAAATATTTTAATTAAAAATATTACATCAAAGTATTTTTAAAAATATATGTAAAAGTTTTGAAGGTAGTAAATAAAAAATTAATATTACTATTACATTTTTGTAGAAAAATCTTCTAATTACTTTGTAGAATCATTAACAAAACAAAAAAAAGTAAGTTAGCGAAAATACTGTTTGAACAGATTAAGAGATTTTTCTTCTAATCTATAAGTTTAATTTTTTCTAAGTTTTATAAGCTTATTATCTTTTAGTAGATTAAGAAGTGTAAAAATTTAAATCAAGATTAAAAATAAAATTACTAATTATTAAGATTGATATTTTTTAATAAATTTTATTTACAATTTGATTAAGATTTTTTAGGATCTACTTATAATTTAATTAAAATTTAATTAGAATTTATTTAAATGTTTTTAAGGCTGATTAAGATTTAGCTAGAATTATTTTAAGGTTTCTATATGATTTCTTTAAGATTAATTAGCGTTTCTTTAGAATTTTTTAAGGTTCATTTAGAATTAATTAGAATTTGATAAGGTGTTTCTAGGATTATTTTAATATTTGTAGTGGTGCCTTCAAGCTTTTAACTTTTTGAAGTAAATTCTGCTGTATTTAAATCAAGTCTTTAGGATTTTCTAAAAAAGCTTTGTTTGTTAGTAGCACACTGAACAAAGCTTTATTGTTGAACCAACAAAAAATATATATATAATTAAAATTTTCAAAAATATAAATATATATATTATACCTTTGTTTATCATTTAAAAAAAGTTTAAAATTTTATGAAAATTAAAATTTATTAATATCTTCCAAAATTTTGATTTTTTTTGAAATAATTACTTAAAAAAATTAATAGTATTTTAGATTTTATATACACTTAAGATCTTAAAAACTATTGGTGATTTAAAAATATTACTTCCAACATAACAGAAGAACTTTTTATATAAAAAATATTATAATTTTTTCATGTAATTAAATATATAAATTGGTCTTTTAATTGGTCTATTAATCGGTTTATTAGTAAAAAAATAATCTTAGACATATTTTAATTTTAAACCAATCTAAGATGCAAAAGAATATACTAGGCATTTTGAAAATTAACCTAAGATGTACTAGGCATCTAACTATGGAAGGGTTTGATTATACCTTGAAATTGGATTTACAACCTAAAAAAATATTACATAAGGTGTTTAGAAGCACCTTTTTAG